GTCTTCTCAAATATACATCACCAAAAATTTGAACCACATTGTCACAAAATTTATGAAGATATTTGATAGCGGTTGACTCACCCATACATAAATACTCATCAAGGTGGTAAGTTGGACTCCATAAGCCAACTGATGAATAGCTGTTGCGCATTTTTTAAGTGGTGGCAAATTTTATCTACCCACTGCATAAATATATTGCTAGAAAAATGATGATCATGTCTGAAGTGCATTCACAATTCAAAGAGATAATTCTCTTTGTATACGAAAACGTGTACGAAATATATAGTCCGGGTAGACTTGATAGTCAGAGAAATATCACTTTCAAGTCTGTCATGCCCAACTTCAAGCTTTCTATGGATGAGCCTTCTTCTTCTATGAACTCCAATTTCATGTTGATATGTTTGAAGTAACTCGTGGCTTCGTTGAACGATTGATGAAATAATTTTGAACTTCTAAATCCTTAGTGTCATCACCATCTTCACTGTCGGTGGATGATTATAGATTAGACTCGAATCTATATAAATTTTGAGTCATTTTTAAAGGATTCTAATTGAATATAAAGCGTGTAACTATGATTTGCAGAATGAGAAAAAATATGTAAGTTTGCTTTGAATATATAGACATCAACGTATATGTATATTGTATTTTTATTTTTTTTTTTAAAAAAAGACAACACCCCATAAAAAGGCCGAGGGGGGGAGGGGGGGGGTTAAGGTCGGACCACAACATGTATATAATAATGCTCTAAATGGGATTAAAAGTCACAAGTCTACAAGTCTAATTTTTGATATACATCAACCCAAACGAAAACAAAAACAGAAACAAGAGATATATGACAACAACATCAAGTAAAAATTGTTGGGATTTATGAGGATCTCGTTATGCACAAATCACAAATTCAATAGCAAAACGTAAACCTATGCGCATCGAATCTAAAGGTTTGCTAAGTAACTTACGACTTAAAATTTATTACGATCTGGCTGATCTTTTGGATGGTCGTACACATCACACCAATGAAAGACTGACTGCAAATCATGTCTTATGGTTGCACGAACAAGATTGGATTGAAAATTGGATCAAACAGGTGCAAACAGATGAAAGACAAGCTTGCAGTCCTGGGAACTTACGACGGCACGTGAGGGAGCGTTCAACATTGGATGGCGGCGATCTAGGTGGCGTTGGAAATCTCTCGTCGAGAAGGTCGTCTGGGTATGCTGCACGTCTTGATCGGACCTCCGGTTAGTTCTGTACGACAAAATATATTTCGTCTCGTTTTACCTACAGATCTTCTACTGTATGTCTCAAACACCTCTTAATCTTGTACTGGTGGAACAACAAGAAGAAGATAAAGCTCGAATGGGAACTGAGAGAGAGAAGTTCGTGTGGGGCGTGTTTCACGAGTTGTGGAATTCTCTCCTCTTCCCATGAGCTTAATGATGTATATATAGAGCTATAGTAGGGATCATTAGGAGATTAGGAGAAGGGCTCCTTAATTAATTAAAATACTTGTGGACCAAACCACTTATTTTAATTAATTAAATAATATTAAATGGACCACCAACATAATATTATTGCACTCCCTTTTCCTAGTCCAATTTACAATTGAGACTCCAATAATAATTACTCGATTTATCTCTCCATGTTTAGGATATAATGTCCATTAATTAATTCGATTACTGACAATCAAGAATTATTTAATTTATTATTATTTCACCGAATCTACCGCTCGTTCATCACGATATTACTATGCCGGAATTTAATCCACATGCATGGTTTAGCATAATAATCCTTCATGAACTCACTCTGGAGACATCATCAAACTAACGCACATGATGACCGTAAATATCCTAACATGGGGACCACAACATGTATATAATAATGCTCTAAATGGGCTTAAAAGTCACAAGTCTACTAGTCCAATTTTTGATATACATCAACCCAAACGAAAACAAAAACAGAAACAAGAGATATATGCCAACAGCATCAAGTAAAAATTGTTGAGATTTATGAGGATCTTGTTATGCACAAATCACGAATTCAATAGCACAACGTAAACCTATGCACAACGGATCTAAAAGTTTGCGTAGAGAACTTACGGCTTAAAATCTATGATGATCTGGCTAATCTTCTGGATGGTCGTACATAACACAACAATGAAAGATTGATTGCAAATCGTGTCTTAGGGTTGCACGAACAAGATTGGATTGAAAATCGGATCGAATGGGTGCAAACAGATGAATACAAGCTTGCAGTCCTGGGAGCTTTCGGCGGCGCGTGAGGGAGCGTGCAACATCGTATGGCGGCGATCTCGGTGGCGTTGGAAAGCCCTCGTCGAGACGGTCATTTGGGTATGTTGCACGTCTTGATCGGACCTCCGGTT